AACTAAGTAGATGTCGTCTTAAATGTAGAGGGGGTTCTCTTGATATTACTTATAAGCTGCTTACAGGACTGATTCTGAAAGCACCGACGGCTAATCTTAGAGCTGTTATTTGAATTGTGTTAAGGTTTTTTAGGAACGTTTTATTTACTGTATCGTAGCATATTGCACCGTAGTCCAGTCTACTGCGAAAAATTGGTTTGTAGAGGTTAAGCAGAATACTACAATCAGCTCCCCATATATTACTGGATAGAAGTTTCAGCAAGTTTATTCTATTTTGACAAGTTAGTTGTAAATTCGTAATGTGGGTTTTCCAGTTTAATTTGTAATCAACGTTAGGCTCAAAAAATTCAATTCGAATAACGAAACAATAATGGTATTCTTGCTTTGGCTGAACACTGTGTAATGTGTCTTATTAGTTGAAAAGAGAAAGCCTGTTTTGGAAGACCATTGTTCGATTTTGTAGAGAAGGTTCTGTAGTATTTTAACCCCAGATGTAATATATTTTTGCATTTAATATAGATAGCTAAATCATTAGCGTACAAGTTAGCTTTTATAGGAGGCTTAATTGTATTTATTACATCGTTAAATGCAATTAAAAATAAAGTTGAGTTTAAAAGAGAACCTTGTGGAACACCGTTGTCGAGTATTCTAGTGGTGGAGGTGTATCCATTTACTCTTACTTGTATTTCCCTTTTATTCAGAAAGTTTTTTAAAAACGCAAGCATACTTCCTGGAACTCCCCATTTATCAAGTTTATTTAATATGAGATATTTTCATGTTTTGTCGAAAGCTTTATTCACATCAAAAACGACTACTATAACTTTCTAATCTAGTAAGGATGCATCATAAATAATTGACTCAAGTGCCACTTAGTTGTCGTTAGCAGATCTTCCTCGTCGAAAAGGTTTTCGACGAGGTCCAAAGTATGTTTTCATTTTCTGGATACCATGTAAGCCTTTAATTTAAAATCTTCTCGAGAAGTTTACACATGCTACAGATGAGGGAAATAGGACGGTAAGATGTGGGACAATCTTTTGGATTGTGTTGTTTATAAATTGGGATTATAATAGCTTTGGTCCAAGTATCAGGAAAGTTATGATTTAAAAAGTTGTGATTAAAGATGTCTAAAAGTATTTTTTTGCCTTTGTGCTTGCTAGCAACCAAGACTTGAGAGATTTCTTGATTCCACCAAGGTACCGGTTGCCTTTTACACGGTGTAGTTTTTCTACATATGTAGATGCCCAATTTAAGATAATGTTGTTAAACTCCGTGACGGTTTTGTGAATGCCATTTGTTATCTCATAATTTTTCATCTCGTCTTCTAAGCCTTTTTGAAAAAGTTCCCAGTGTGCTGATTTTATTTTCCATTTTTAATATGCATTTGGATTAAGAGGTTGGTTTGTCTCAATTGAGATAAGTAAGGGGAAGGGGTCACTGTCGTGCAGAGTTCTTGCTGTGTTCCATTGAAACATGTGTGCTAGTGATGGGCTAGACAGGGTCAGGTTAATTGCAGAGAACGATCTTTTATATGAATTGAATTTTGTTGGCTTTCCAGTGTTTAATCCGATTAAAATTGATTTATTTATCAGACTGTGTAGAAGGTTGCCACATTTATCGATTTTTTGGCTACCCCATGCTGGGTGATGGCAGTTAAAATCGCTTAGAATTACTTTGGGATGGAGTAATTTTTCTATGAGTGCTGTTAATTAGGAAATTAAAACAACCACAGCTTCCAGGTTTGTAGTAAGTGGAATGATTTTTGCTTCAGTGTCATTTCGAATGAAAGTAGGAGTAGCTACTAGCTTGTATTCTATTTCTGTTTTTCAGAAATGGCACATTTCTCAGTATTACAGAATTGTTTTTAAACTGAGATTCTTCCAGACAAATTACAATAGGGGAGAAATTGTTTATAAGAAGTTTTAATTGCTTTAGGTTCCATTGAATTAAAAATGTATTAGACATTATTTATCCTGACCAATTGTCAGATCGTTGTCAGATTTTTCTGTAGATGAATAATAATTTGAGTATAATTTTTTCTTAATAGTTGTAATTGTTCTTTTTAAAAAGAGATTTTGAATATTTGAGTATGTACATAAAAGTGAGGATGTCAATAATTTCGGATATTTCATTGGTGTAATCTTTTCCTATAAGTTCAGGCTTTTTAGAGTTAGTGACAGTTTCTAAAAATAGGCATATTTCTGAATAACATATCGGAAAGGGCGGATCTTTTTGTTCAATTCTGTTTTTAATAGAGTCAAGGACAGCAAATGTGTTTTCAGTCAACTTGGTTCTTTTTTTATGGTTTAGATATTTTTGGGAACAGATAGGACGTCATGTGATGTGGGAATATCAGAAACAACTGCAGAATTTGACAATTGTCTTTTGGCCTTATCTTTATTTAAAGGTGGGTTATCGTTGCTAATTGTAGATAGGGTAGGAGCTGGAGGGTTATAGAAAATGTTTACTTCAGAAAGAGTTTTATTGGTGGTTTTAGTTAGCTGTATATTGGTTTGGTTATTTAAATTAGGATTTCAGGTACTTCTGCCCCATTTGTTTACTGGGAGAATCCATTTTATGAATGCAATCAACTTCTCGGTGTCCTATTGTTCGACATTTAGAACAGTTAAATTCATCTATAAAAAGGTATATTCGATATGTTGTGGAATTAAAAGAAATGTTGAAAGAGTCTGTTATGGATTGTTTGTATAAGTTTTCTAATGGATTGATGTAGATTTGCTGCCGAAAACTCAGAACATGGTTATATTCTGTCTCAGACATACCCATTCGAAGAAATGTCATTTTTGATATGGCTATAATTCCCATTTTCTTAAGTTTGTCTTCTATAACTTCGTTTGGAATGGTTGGACAAATATTCGGGATGACTAATCTTAATGCTTGAGTTTGAAGTTTTTAATCTGCGGACTTCTACTTGCACGTTGCTAATTTTAACGTGTTTGTGTTAATCATTGAGTTGGTCTACTATTCTTTTAGAAGATAAATAAATGCAAATGCGGTTTTTTGCAACTTTCGAGGCAAAAACTATGTTCTTTGGAAAGACAAGTGATCCAATGGCTATATGTCAACTATATAATCATGAATTTTAGTTCTAGTTCTAGTTCTATGTTCCTTCTATGGCAGATAGTATAATAGCTTGCTCTTTTGTCGGATATATGAATGTAGTTAGTATGTTTGAGTATGTAGACGGTGTGGTGTTTTGTGAAGGATTATTTACCTTTGGATTCATTTTTGGTTAATAATTTTTGTCTTTAAATTTATTTATCATAGTCAATTTTTACACGTGCCAATCCGGCTCTGTATTATCGGCAGACTTTTAAATAAAAGTTGCTCTGGTAACCGGTCGGAGCAGCCTTTGTAATAATTTTGTTGACTTTCAGAATATGTGGTATTATGTAGTATTGAAAATAATAATTTGTACTCACTGCAATTTCAGACTAATCGATGAAAAGCACTGTAGATTTTCAAGTAAACACTTTTAACTATTTTTGTTTACTTTATTATATTAGATTTAAACGATATTCTCGGAGCTAACCTAAATGTGGTTTGTTAAACCAAGGTCAGAGACAACTTTTTCAATATTAATCATTAGTCGAATAAACAACTAAATTAATAAATAACTTATATAACTGACTAGATAAATAAAAGCACTTAATATTAATTAAAAAAGTAAAATACACAAATAGTAGTTATCAATTCACTGTAATCAGCTATCTACATTCAAACACGACTACCCTTAGATGTTGCCAAATTTGTACTTCATGGCTTGTAACTTTAGGTGGCTGTGTATGGACGCTTGACTGAAATTTTCTTTACTGTTCTTAAGAATAACGCTGGACATACGTAATTGGTTGAATTCCATAAGTAGTTAGTAGATGCAGCGGCCATAACTGAATTGTTCATCCAGTTTATGACAATTATTTTATTTTGTCGATCTAATTAAAAAGCATATTACCCGCGGTTTTCCTTTTTCATTAGTTTATTGATTTTTACGTTAGAGATTTTGGAATCATATTTTCACGGATAGTTCCCGTTCCATGGTATGCTCTGTCTCTATGTTCTTCAACACCATACCAGTAAATAAATTATCGAAATAAATATGCATAGGTAAGTTTTTAAATTAATTTGGAAAAGTGTCAAGCATTTGTACCAAGGGTGCAGCACACTTTCCAAATTTATTTTCGTAGTAATTATTGGTATGAGGTTTTTTACCTTTGTAAACGTCATAATTAATATGATAGCTATCAGAAGTATTTAGACTCCATCCTTTATATCCAGTTCATTTCGAATGCACTGCTTGTAACCATGCTTACCAAAATATTCTATCACTGACTCATCGAAATTAATATGTAAAGACTCAGAATGTCTTAAGTTGTGGAATTTTTTCAATGCAGTGCCAGAAAGTATTAATATTGTTGAATCAGAATCCCAAGCTTAAAATTTATCTGATTTTTTTTATGTCGCATGTACTTTAGGTAGCTGTTTATATAGAAAATGATACACGAGGTATTTATTTAATTCAAAGTCGACTTTAAAGGTGAAATGTGAAAGTCAAGAGGTAAAAAGTAGCCCAGAAGTAAAGAGCAGCTAAGAATCTTCCAACACTTTATTCGCTTTTTTAGTCTTCTTGGTCGGTATGTCAATGTAATGTTCAAGAAGAAAAAGAAATTGAATATATAACATTACCGTTTCTAAGCACCATCGCTACTCACAGAAAATTTTTGTATGTGAGTATTAAGTTAAATACCCATTAAACTAGCAAAAAAATGGCAAAACCTTTATACTTTTTCAATTATTAATTTTTGATTCATATTGGTTAGCTTAAGTGATTCACAGGGCTAAATTTAGAGTTTACTTTAAAGTCTTCATTTCAGTTTTTAAAAAAAGTTAGTTAAATAATTTAACTAAAATTATAACACAAAATATTAACAAAAAGAAGAAATATCCGAAAAACCAAAGTTTCTAACTAGATTGACGTCTTCTAAATTATCATAACTTATGTTTTTTGACGTAATGAATAGAACACTCTCTGAGAAATCCGTAGTTATTAGAATCAATGGTGTTAGATTAAATAATCTGAGATTTGCCAATGACACCGTTCTGATCGCAGAAACACTTAAAGAGCTACAGACATTGGTGAATAAGATAGAAAACTAAATTTATGGTAATATCGAAATCAACAAAAAATGTCCAAAATGTATATTTACACAATGAAATTATCGATCAAGTTAGCAAATACAAATATTTAGGCACTTTTATAAATGAAGACAACGATAGCTCAGCAGAATTTAAAATAAGAATAGAAAAAGCCAGATCCATATTCACTAAAATGAAGACAGTGTTCTGCGGAAGAGATTTGAGCCTTGAAATGAAACTTCGCCTGATAAGATGTTACGTACTTTCTCTACTGTTCTACGGAATGGAGTCACGGACGTTGAACAAGATTGATACCAAAAAATTAGAGGCATTTGAACTGTGGATGTATCGCAGAATCCTGAGAATATCATGAACCGAGATAGTCACAAATGTCGAGGTCTTGAGAAGAATGAATAAAGATGGAGGGAAATAAAGGAAGTCATATTTACGATCAAAAAACGAAAACTGCAATACTTGAGACACATTACAAGAGGCGAAAGATATGAACTGCTTCGAATAATTATGCAAGGGTAAATAGCAGGAAAAAGGTCCATAGGAAGAAGACGAAACTCCTGCTTAAAGAATCTACGGGAATGGTATAGCTGTAGCAATAACAAACTGTTTCGGTCAGCAGTTTCGAAAATACGTATAGCCCTGATGATCGCCAACCTTCGTAACTAAGATGGCACTTGAAGAAGAAGAAGAACTCATGTTTAAAGATCTCAAAATGGATTATTTGGAGTCCAAATTAAAGGTATTAATGTTAAATAATAGCCAACATGATTTTCGAAAGAGAAGCGTCTATCTAACTAAAGGTATAACTTAAAAAAGGCGAAACAACGGTGAAAACGCAGGAGAACTGAAGCGACGGAGACGCCCCTAATCAGATTTTTGTCTTATAAATCAACATAATTTTGGTTCTAAGCATCTGAAATAGTTTATCTAAAGTATAAATTTAAGGTATTAATGTCAGTTATTTAATAAATAACTTTTAAAAGAACAGCACATCCCTAACTAAAAATGTAACTCAATAAATAGCGAAAAAACAGCAAAAAACTAATTTTTTAATAACTAGTATCTGCCTGGTATCACTTTAAAAATACTAAAAAAATTCTGGAACATAGTTTTGCTGATTATACATCATATATATTTTTTTCGAACTATCCATACATTTTTTTTTATTTTTTATAGGCGTTTAAAATTTTCTAACGCTCAAATCAATTTAAATTTAACGTCAACTCTCCTTTTGGTTCAAATATTTTTCTAGAACACAACAAACCCTTAAATTAAAAAAAAATATATATATATATATATTGATAAAAAATTAAGCGAGTTATTGCCAGAAAACGATTTTTGCCATTTTCTGGAATTTTGGATGTGCCAATATCTTGTTCTAAAATGGGACTTTTCATCAGCCGCCATGTTTTTCGTACAGACAGATTTGACATTTGACAATGACGTATCATATATATTATACGTCATACTGGTTTATAAATTTATAAAAAAAATTATTTTTTAATAAAGAAATTATATTGTTTATAAAGCACAAAGGCTTTAGAAAATTTATAAAATAATATATGTATTGTCTTAAATGATATAGAGCCGATATCACTCTTACATAGTTCATAACAACATTACTATGTTGTTTCTTTTCGTACAGGTATCATCATAAAACACGCATTCGTGTCCGTTCCAGCTTGCGTGGAGGAGGAGTTCTAAATTAAGTAAGGACTCTTCCGTACTTCGCGGAAGACGGCCGGGCGGGGGAGTCCTCAACCCCGACACGGCGCGTCCCACTGGCTGATAGGGAAATGTCCTACAGATATGTAGGATAGGTGTGAATAAGGTTTTACCAAATAAGCATCCGTGGACCTATAGCGGAATGATTTCTACTGTTGGCTTAGTGATAGATACTCACGGGCGGATATCACATAATGATTTAAGCGGCCGTGATACTGCGGTTAGGCAGGCAAGGGGAAACCACCTGATTAAATTCCCGTGACTACACCATCATGAATATATCGAATCAGTTAGATATGCGTAGCGATCCGATTAGCGATTGGCGCTTAGTTGTTTCCGGGCCAACTAGTGTCAAATGGGCTAACATGTGTTTGTGAGCAACCAGGCAACACATGCGAAATTGGCGCCTGGAAGAAAATCAGATTTTCAGTTGAGAAAAGCAATGGCAATAGCAACCTGGAATGTTCGAGGATTATTGCAATCAGGCAAACTGCATATACTACAAAGAGAAGTCGAAAGAGAGGATATAGAAATATGCGGACTTTCGGAGACCCATTGGAAAGAACAAGGACACTTCGGAACGGCAGATCATGTTGTATACATATCGGGAGCAAATAACACAGGAAGAAAAGGTGTTGCAATTATGGTGACCAAAAAAGTTTCACAATACGTATATAATTACCAACCGATAAATGATAGACTTCAGAAAAAGCCACGTCACGTCTATTGACATAGCTAATCTCAGACGCGTTAAACAATAAAGTGGAAGACGTTATTAAAGACACAATAAGAAATATTTCATCTAAAGAATCACTCATAATCATGGGAGATTTTAACGCTAAGGTAGGAGAAACAAGAAATGACAACATCCAAAATGTAGGAAACTATGGGTTAGGTGTTAGAAACAGCCGAGGCTAACGTTTAATAGATTTTGCAACCGAAAACAGTTTGGCCATTGTAAATACAATGTTCAGACATCATGCTCGTCGTTTATCGACGTGGACCAGCCCAAATGGAGAATACATGAACCAAATCGATTACATATTGATTAGAAACAGATGGAAGACATGTTTTACAAACGTAAAAACTAGACCAAGAGCTGAATGTGGATCCGATCATAAATTGTTATGGGCTTGCTTCAAGATGAAGCTAAAAAGAACAATGCCGCAACAAAATCAAAACAGGCTGGAGATTTCAAATCCGAAAACATTTAGAGATGCATTAAAGGAAACTAGTATGTTGAACACACAAGACAACCCAGAAGAAATGTGGAAAGGTTTCAGAAATGCCATAGAAACCTCTGTAGAAAGAACCAGAACCGAAAAAAAGATCATCAAAAGAAAACACTGGATGACAGACAGAACGCTGCAACTTCTCGAAGAGCGAAGGAGAATCAAATCTCTCATATATCAAAACGACAGCAACAAAAACGAATTAGCAAGGTTAAATAAAGAAATTAAAAGAGCATGTAGGGATGATAAAAATAAACATATAAATGAAGAATGCGAAGAACTAGAGAGACATGCAAACCGGTATGAATCCCATGAGCTATATAACAAAGTCCGATATCTAGCCAGGGAATTTAAACCAATCACACAAACAATAATGGATCAAAACCAACATATTATAAATGACGAGAAAGGGATTGCGGAGATATGGAGAAAATATTGTCAAAGTCTATATGCAGATGATCCCCAGAATGCAAATCACGATGAGTTCACTGCGGAAAGAGAACAAACATTGTAAAGTCAGAGGTGAAAAAAAGCAATCAATAAGTTGAAAATAGAAAATCTCCTGGCGCAGACAAGATCACCGCAGAAGTTTTTAAAGAGACTGGAGATGTTGGAGTAAATGTTATGGATATGATCTGCAAAAGATTTGGGAAACCGGAGAGTGGCTCAACGACTGGACAACATCTACTTTCATCCCTATATTCAAAAAAGGAACTCCGCTAGATTGCAGCAACTAAAGAACAGTAATTCTAATATCCCATGCAAGCAAGGTTATACTTCATAAAATATTTGAATTGAATAGTTTACCAAGAAGTACATTAAATTATTGACTTACTTAATCTGACTTTCTTAACATTAAAATATCGGGATATAATATTAATCACCTGTCAAATTCACGTCGGACATTGTAGCTAGTAGTGTGACGTCAGTACCGATATCTATCAATTACATGTAAAAACATCAATAGGCTCCATCCTTAGTATATTATATCGATGTATTAATCTTTAATATTTATATTATTAACTTAAATTGATATGTTTGTTTACAAAATGTCTGTTTGAAAACAATTGAAAAATTTTATGATGAAAAAAGTCTTCTTTAGTGAATCTTTATCATATGTGAAGCCGAAAAATACCCCAAAATTTATATATTTTTCTACTCTCTTACTAGTAAATTGTATATTACCTACTATTTGGATGCTAAGTAAATGCATCATAACAGATACTGACACGTAATGACTAGCACGTAATAAAAAAAATTACGCTTCAGTTCTATAAAAATGTGTAATATCACATACGCCTTGTAAGTCAGTTGGTCGAGTTACCATGGAAACGAATTAACAGGCGTTGTTTTGACAGGTTAAAAATTATTAATCTGTCAGTGTAAATATAGTGGTAATTTAATTTTTATTTTTATAAACAAAAATAATGGTAGAAAAAGTATAGTACACAACTTGAGTTGTAAGCTTATTACATGCTTGTAAAATTACTGCGCTCGCCGCTACGCGGCTCGCGCGCAACTTTTTTACTCGCATGTAATAAGCTTCTTACAACTCTCGTTATGTAATATACTATTATATATCTATAAATATAAACTTTAATTCCTGACATTTATGCAACTGATATTAATGTCTAACTGACTTAGATCATTTTTTTTAGATTTTATATCAGTTTTGCTTAATAAACGAATATGTTTGGTTAACCGGAACTACATATATATTTTAAACTATGTATATTAGCTACAAACCAGTTAAAATATGATCTTTCAAATACAAGCTTTAAACTTTATAATGCACGATATATCTAACCCATTACACGATATATTTCAAATATGCAAGTTAAAACTTGCATATTTGTGTAAATATTAATTTGTAGATTAATGAAAACTATTAATTAACTGAAGCCTAAAATAAATCACGATTTATCCATTTTGTGTATATCTATATAATTCAGTTGATACTGTTATTTTTAGTATTATATATAATTAACTTTGCTGATCCCCGGGTTATTTTCCAAGCGGAAATTGCACCATTAATGAATATTGCCAATTTCATTACTGTCTATTATAATAATATTATCATGTTTTAAAAATACGAAAAAACAAACGACAGAGTAGGTGGGCTTAATTTATAATTAAATATACTTGTTTCAAATATTATACTTCATGGGATGATCCTATGATAGTTCATGGGATCAATTAGAGAAAATTAATCTTTCTCATATTTCTTAGATTTTTCTTATATGTTTATGATAATCTTCACGTATCATAATTTTTACGTATAATTTTCGAGTTCTGATAAAATAAGAAGAGTTATTTTTATTTTACCCTAAATTTATTACACCTTAAAATTAGACACATAATGTTATTTAAATGAAATATAGCAAATTTA